TTTTTACTTTGTTTGTCTTTTGTCCTATTTGTACCCCCTTCCCTTGTTTTATTGTAAGCCGCCCGGAGTCCTTCGGGAGTGGGCGGCATACAAGATCAATAAAACTAAACTAAACTAAACTAATAATGTGACCCAAGAGTCAAATACCTATTTATTAGTAGGTAGATGAATCTTGGGTAACATTATTATAAGATAGTTAAACAGACCACATACAAAACAGTGTTGTAGTTTTACATTGTGCTTCAAAACATTGAAGCAACATTCACCAATTTTCCTGGGAAAATGTGTGCTTTCCATTTATTAACTAGTGGTACTTTGTATGTATTGACTCCAAACAAATGTTTTCTGTGCCTCTTGATTAATTTTGCACATTTACTTGAAGGTATCTGGAAGCTGAACAACTTGTTTCAGGTCATGCCACAAAATTTCACAAACTGTTTTGGCTACTCTAAAACACTTACCGTTCTGTGGTAGATTTTACTTGTGAGTTCCTAATTCTAGTTATAAATGAAGTTCATCTACAATTAAATGAAGATCAAATTACACTGTAGGTCATCAACAGTGCAAATTTACACTGAAGGGTATCTACTATAGCCAATACCGTACCAGACTCCTTTGAATTAGGGGAGAATAATTGCGATTTCCAGATTTCTCTTTGACTGCAGTGGTTGGGAATTTGGGAAGTTATAAACCCAGGATATCTGGAAGGTACCAGATTGAGAAAGGTGAATCTAATACATCACAAATTCTAAGCCTTGTATGTCATGGGTGTCAAACTTGCCGCACCATGTTGCCGTCATGTGACCTATCACAACATATTTTTTTCCTTTCGCCACTTTGACACCTCTGTTATATGTAAAGACCTCTTACCTCATATACTTTGCTCCAGCTGTCAGTATCCAGCCGGTGCTTGTTCTGTTTGATTTGATTGAGACTTGGCTTGATGAGGGAATTTCCCACCTTTTCTTTAGTCCAGTCATCCACCAGTTTATGCAAATCATCCGTGAACATTCCTTTTTTACTGGTTGTCTGCTGACAAGAGGCAGTGCTACTCACGATGCAGAGTTGTTCTAAGGAGGAGCAAATGTATTTAGAGGGTATTCTTCAAGCAGTTGTATCAAAACATTGAACCTGGGTGACAAACAAATTCTTGACAACTTCTTGACCTATCTGTGATCTGGAAAAGATCTTCCAATATGATACTATCATCCAAAGAGGAGGGCTGAACACATTTGCCCATTTTTACATGGGGGTAACGACTGGGTGGTTTTAAGTGAGGTAAGGAGAGCATTTAATCTTCTCAAAATCTTGCACTTCCATCCGTAAAACTTTCCCAAATCTCCCAAAGAAAGAGAATATCATACCAATTTCAGCTATATAATATGTCATGATGACCTACAGGGAGACTCCTCCTACCCATGTATCCATTCTTGTTTAATAATTATGACCTATAGGCTACCCATTTAAAGTGGGAACTTTAAATAACTTACAAACTAGAAGTAGCAGAACAGTATGTCTACTAAAATATGGAAATATCTGTGATATATTTCTATGTGAGGAGGATGAGGGAAATCACAATAAGAAAGCAAGTGTAGCATCTGAATTGCCCTTGAATATTTGCAAATACCTTGGTTAGTTTCTGCTTGTGAACAGCTTTGATGCAGCAAATGGGCTTGAATGCTCAACTGATAGTCAATCACAGAGGCAGCAGTGGTTGCACAACAGCATTCTGGGTGGCAGAGAAGGGAGAGACAAACCATCAGAAGCAACTAAAACAGCATATGCGGTAGGCTGGGTGTGGGGATGAAGGCATGGATTGCATTCAGAATCATTGAGCCTAGTTGGGCCTGGTCTCTGGGTGTTATGTGAATTTTGTTGTATGGGTATACTGTATATATACTTACAATGACAATAAAGTAATTCTAATATGCCTAGATCTGTTTAGGAAAATTAGGCTGAAAATAGTCTTAGTTCACTGGAGGAAAAGGGCAGAAAGCCAAATGGCAAACAGGAAAGTCTTAAAGAGTTTTGAGTTGGCAGACATAACCTTGACAAACAATATGAAATCCTAGGGATTCCTCAGACTAGTGAATTCAACTTTTTTGTTCTGAATTAGGAAACCCCTGGCCAATCCTCAAAAAGGCCCCTAGCTTGGTGTATGGCTCCCACTTGCATTTCCTTACCAGCAGCAACAATGCCATTGTCGACATGAGAGTGAGATTGTGGCCGGCTGCGCAGCTTGCTTTTGAAAGATTTAGGCCGCCGTGGGGATGACAGTTGCAGGGAGAGGTCAGAGGATTCTGACCTGCTATCTTTGATGGAGCGAAGACGTTCATATAGCTCCTGCAACTCCCTGTTCTGTTGAGCTTGCAGGCTGACGACTTCCTGGATGTGCCTTCATGGAAACAGAGGAAAAGAAGAAAACCTTGGCAAGATGTCAAGTTCTCAGTTACCCTTTCACCTCAACAGTCACCTCCCACTGGAAAGCAGGGAGCGTGAAACGATCTAGCTCAGGCCAATGGCCTCTTTACTCTCAGCTTGCTTGGGTTTCCTCAAGTTACGAGGGGGAGATGTTTCATGACATACTATTGCACGGGATGAGCAATAGCAATATAGCAGTTAGACTTATATACCGCTTCATAGGCCTTTCAGGCCTCTCTAAGCGGTTTACAGAGTCAGCATATCGCCCCCAACAACAATCTGGGTCCTCATTTCACCCAGATAGATAGATAGATGATTGATAGAGAGAGAGGGAGGGAGGGAGAGAGAGAGATGATGGATGA